TGTATTTAAAATTTTAATTTTGTGACGTTCATAAAATGTTATAAAATTTAATGATATCTTAAATCTTAAATGGCATTGCATTAATTAATGAATTGCTATAAAAAGCTAGTAACAATGATGGTCTCTACTTACTTTTAAAAAATAAAGAAAATGGGCGGCGTTTTAAAAAAAATTAAAAAGCATTACTTTTAATATATATATATATATATATATAAAATATCTTATATATCCATCAATTCATATACATAATTTTTTCATAAATATACAATTAATTAATAAAAATAAATAATCAATTTCATACTATATAAAAACTTTGATAATTTAATAAGGTCATAAAAAATCAAGGATAAGAAAAGACATAAATTAAATATTAGCTAAGAGATATAATAAGATTTATTAACAATTTTCAAAATATAGTTGTAAAAAAATAATGCCTAAAATAAAATAAATAAACAATAAATTTAAAAAATATGACTAATGTTTAATAGAAATTAAATATAGAATAAAAAACAATTTATACAAGCTATGAAGAAAAAACAAGCTATCATATGATCACACAAGTTTTGGCTATCCTTCAACATTAAACAAATACATATAAGAAAAAGTGGCTAGATCTTAAATTAGAAACAAGCTACTTCTTTAATGATTAACAGAGATCATCATTATTATCTTCTTGAAAATCCAAAACTTGACAAAACCAAGCTGTTTATCACTAAAAGCATGAAGATTGAAGATCCCACGATCTGTTCTCTAGATCTCAATAAAGCTTTAAACCCAAAGAATTATTACACCAACAAATATGCGTATTACCAAATTAATTAAAAAAAACAAACCCTTCAAGAGTGGAAAGAAAAAAATCAATTGAAGAAATAAAAGTAAAATCATGAAGATCCACATAAATATATATGGATAGGTAGATATGAGGTAAAAAAATAAAAAAAAACTTGTTATTGGTGTACTTGTACAAGCAATCTCAACTAGAGAAGATGAGTAGAACAATTTCAACAATTAGAGAATAGATAATTCGTGAGTTGCAAGAGAGAAAAGCAAGCAGTTGGAGGGAAAGAATGACCAAGACAAGAAGATTAGAGTTTGAAAATTTCAAGAAGAATTAAAAACTATTTCTAATTTTTAAAAATAATTAAAAAATCACAATAGCTCTGATTTTTTTTAAAATAAAACTAATTAATAACTGACATTACTATCGAATAGCACCAAAATTAATAAAAATTAAATTTTATTGTAAAGCACAACCTAAATTGTCTCTACAAGAGTCAATAAATTAATTATTTGAATTATAATTATGAAAAGATATATAATAGGAAATTTTTTTTATAACAACATTAATTTAAAAAAATAAATTTAAATTAAACAATTAAAACAAGTTCAATTGCAAAAATTACCAAGCACATGCAGCGCAATCAATCAAAAACCAATCACCTAAATTTAATCTTTTTCATCCATAAAATAAATTAATTTTATTTAAATTTATTATTTTAATATTTATATATTTTTTAAATTATCATTTAAAAATTAAAAAAATTAAATTATAAATTAATCAAAATCTCTCTTAATCCATAAGGTAACAACTGTTTCTATATTAAGCACACTAGAAATAAAACAAAACAATCACCCAAGTCTAGCAAATTGCTCTTATGTTACATATCAATTGCTTATTACAAGTAAAACCCACATAAAATATATAACCAAAAAAATTATGTAATAAAGCTATTCTAATAAACAATAACAATTAAAGCATAAAATTTAGAGGTAACAAAAAGAAGAACAAATCAAAATAAAGTTAAAATAATTTTTTTAAATATTAATAACTTTATTAAAATTTAAAATTATAATTTATAATTGATTGCAACAAAAAAATTAACTTTTGGTAGAATTAAAATGAAACAGCACTATATAAGAAATTGAGAAACCATGGCTCACGTAAATGAAGAAAAGAAGACGACGCCTCGGCTCCTCTCCAATAATTTTTGCTCCGCCAACTCCTTCGTAAAAGTCATGGGTCCTCTGCTGCGTCTTTTATATATAAAAAGTAGTGCGTCTCTTAAAAAAAAAAAAACCTAATAATTTAATAAAATAATAAACTATCCTAAATAACCCTAATTAAAAACTACCCTAATAAACTCAAAATAAATTTAAAAAAATTTTAAAGATTTAATTATTAACTTGATCTTTAAATATGTTTATATTTTTTGTATCCAAAATAATCACTATTAATATGTTTCAAATTAGATCAAAAGAATTTGTACAAATAAAATTAAATTAAATAGTAACTGTAAAAAAATATTAAAGATATCATTTATATTTTAAAATTAAATATTTAGATAGTTCAAAAAAGTTAAATTGGCTAATAAAATTAAAATTTAATTAAATTCAATTACCTTAAATAAATTTTAAAAGTCTAAATTAAAAGGATAAAAATATATAAAATTTTTATTTATTATAAAAATTTAATTTTGAGGAAAAGGTGGCATTTTCAGTCATTTAAATTAAATTTTTTAATATTTGATAGTTAATAAATAATATTTTACAATATATTTTGAAAAATAATACTAATTAATAAAAAATTCAATTTATAAGATAGAAGTGGCATTTTCATCTCCAAAAACCTCACTTCTCTCATTAAATATTTTTTATTATATTAATATTGATAAACAATATTTAATATATATTAAAAATAACAAGTCATTTAATTTAGATGAGAGAGATGTCATTTCTATCATTTAAAATATCACCCCTCTCATTTAAATAATTTTTTTTACATTTAATGTTTAATAAACACTATTTAATAATTAGTACGAGAAAATAATACAATTAACAAACATTTTAAGTTACAAGACGAGATAGCATTTCATTGGAAATGGTCACTCTCCCATTTAAATATATTTTTAATATTAATATTTAATAAACAGTATTTGACAATTATATATTTTTAAAAATAACATTAAATATCATAATAATTATAAAAATAATTATTAAAAATATATATCATTAAAGAAAATAAATGAAAACACGTAGCTACCTATGACTGATAAATAAAGTATTGTTGAATATTATAGTTATTATAAAGTAATTATTAAAAATAATTCTCAAATAAAATAATTAACTATCAAATACCAATAAATTAAAAACACTTATTAATTAAATATTTAGATCAATATTATATTTATTAAAATTTTATTAAAATATATTATTTTTATATACAATAATTGAAACCCTGTGAGAAAACACACCTAAGTTTAATAAAATAAAATATGAATTATAAAATATATATTTTTTTTAAAATAGTTGAAAACTATTAGGTGGCGTTCCTCACAGGAAATGCCACCTAATATTAATTAAAAAAAATATGTATTAAGCATTATATTTCTGATAAAATAATTATTGAAAATAATATATATTTACTATAAATAAATAAAAACTATTATGCCACCTAAGCTTTTGTTAAATATTATATTTACTGTAAAATATTTATTAAAAAACAATTCTAAAGAAATAATTAACTATCAAATTAAATCTCTTGTTATTTTATACAATAATAAACAAAAAATAATTGATAAGTGGTGGTATTTCATTCAAGGTATGCCACCCTAAGTATTTTTTACTTTCATTTTAGTGAGTTTTGGTTTTTAATTATTATACAATGCATGCTACCAAATTTTTATTTTTGTAGTAGTGAGTTTTTTGTCTCGTGAATGAAAATATAGGATTTTATTAGTAATAATTTTAAAATTTTTTGATAAATGTTTATATGAATGTGTAATTTGCTTTAAAAAAAAAAAAACAAGTGCCATGAGACAGTTTCTCCTATATTCGTAAACAAAAGGATCACGCAATAATAATAGCTTTCTACTTTAGGCCGGGCCAGGAATAGATCATTTAATTTATATGTGAAAAATCACAATAGAGAGCTTGGGAAGAACATTTATCACAAATAAAGACCAAACAAATTTAAAATTACTCTCCAAGGCCAAAAGATTTAAATATAATTAAAATTCATAATGAAAAAATAAAAATATTCTTCATATATATATATTTTTTAAAAAAGCGCACCGCTGTTATTGGTTGTCAAAACACCATTGGCGGCTGACAGGGCCCCAACATTTAGCAATTGCATTTAATTACTTTTTCAAAGTGGCCAAACCCCAACCCTTAGGTCACCCAGAAAATGGGCTGCCTGAATAAATATTATATATATATATATAATTAAATATATTTTTAATTTTTAAATCAATACTCATTAAAAATTTAATAGTTATTTATTAAATTATTAATAAGGATTTGTTAAAAGATTAATATGCATTAGTTTTTATAAATATTTATTTATTTTATTACTGAAAGTTTTCTTGTCAAAAGATTATATGAACTTATAATTTTAGTAAAATTTACTTATCAAATTATTAAAAAAATTGTCAAAGTTAATAATGAGAACTTCTTATTTATAAATGTTTACTTGTTTTCTTGTCAAAACTTTACTTTTCAAAAGCTTATGAACTTATTATTTTAGTAAATTTACTTGTCATATTATGAAGGAAAATTTTCAAAATTTGTAATAAGAACTTATCATTCCATAAATAATTACTTATTAAATTATTAATGGAGACTTGTAAAAAAATTAACATGCATATTACCAAAAAAAAAAGTTTAATATGCACCATTTTTTATAAATGTTTAATTGCGTTTAGGGTTAAAATACAAATTTATTTTTAAATTTTTTAATCAGACACATCTCATATTCTAAAATATTTTTTTAGTATAATTTCTCCTAATATTTTTAAATTTGGTATAATTTTGCCTTGTCATTAGTTCTTGATTGTGCTGACTGTTATATGACTTTGACTCATTTTGTTGACAGCCACGTCACATAATTTAAAAATTAAAAAATTTTAAAAAATATAGGCGTGAACAGCAGTATGCTTCTCGAAACTTACAGAAGAAGTGGCTACGGTGAAGCAAAACCCAGAACTAGTGGATGTTGAGACCTATGGCTTCAAGTCTTCGATTTTCCCTTTAAAATCTGAACTACTAGCTTCCTTGTCTTCTCTCTTCATTTTTCTCTCATTGGCTCTGAAACAACGTTACCTTTGGGCTTTCTGGAGAAGAGGCTATCCATGATGTCGCTTGGATTGCCATTGGCTATTGACTAAACAGGTGAGAGGAGATTCAAACAAGATGATGGGTGCGTTCTTAGATCTGGCTTACTTGCTTGATCTAGTTTCTTTCTTTCTTTTTTTTCTTATTTGATTCAAATTCTTATTTTTTTCCTTCTTTAGAAGCTTCATTTGAACTGGGTTCTTTTTCATTTCTGGTTCGATATTTGGGTTATTTTTTCTCGTATGATTTGGATTTATTGGCTTCTTTTTTTATTTGCTAGGTTTTGTTTGCATTACTGGTTTATGGAGTTTGCTGGTTTTGTGTTTGGGATTTGCCGGAATGAAGAAGGTTACAATGAGGAGGAGGAGGAAGAGATGACATGGATGAGAAGGCAATCTGATAATCTGAGAGAAACACAATAACAATAAGGTGGATGAGAAACATTTGACGTGGCAAGGGAGGAAGGGTGATGTTGTCTTTAATGTGGCATTCCAATCCGTAAATAACGGTCAAATTATCTTTTTTAAACGGTCAATGCTGTCAAACCCTATCAGCAGGGTGAAATTGTACCAAATTAAAAAACTTTGGAATAAAATTATGCCAAAAAATATTTTAGGATAGGAGGTGCACTTGGTTAAAAACTTTGAGAGTAAACTTGTATTTTAATCTTTATTTTATTATTAAAAATTTATTTGCCAAAGTTTATGTGAACTTGGTATTTTAGTAAAATTTACTTGTCAGATTATTAAAAAAATTTGTCAAAATTAATAATAGGATTTGTCATTTTACAAATGATTGCTTATTAAATTACTAATAAAAATTTGTTAAAAAAAATTTCTTGTCAAATTATTTTAGCAAACATTTATAAAAAGTGGTGCATATTAGTTTTTTTTTTGGTAACATGCATATTAAATTTTTTAACATGGTTTTATTAATAATTTAACAAGTAATTATTTGTAAAATGATAAGTCTCCATTATTACATATCATAATTTCTTTGAATAATTTGACGAGTAGATTTTACTAAAATAACAAGTTTATATAAATTTTTGATTAATAAATTTTTGATAATAAAAAAAGTAAACATTTATAAAAATGAGTGCATGTTAAATTTTTTTAACAAATCTTATTATTAATTTAATAAATAATTATTTATAAAATGATAAGCAAACATTAAATCCTTGGCAAGTATTGGTTTGGAAATTGAAAATATATTTAAGAATATATATATATATATATATATATAAATTTATACATTATATTATTAAAAAGATTGGTAGCCCAATGGCTATCATTTCTTTTGGTGACCAAGGACTTAAGGGTTCAAACCTTAACTATCTTAAAAAATTAATTAAATATAATTATCTTTGGTGTCAGGGCTCTATCAGCCATTGGTGGTGTTCTAGTGATAGTGGCGAGATTTTGTTGGAAGAAAATTAGAGGCATTTTTATCTTTTTCATAAAATTTTAATTACATTTAATTCCTTATTCGATCCTTGTTTGTGAAAACTATTTTCCCAAGTTCTGTATTATGGGCCAAACAAACAATTTAGCTTCAGCCCATATTTTAAACAAGAATTTCTTTTTTTTGAGGAGAGTCTAGACGTGAAATTGCTTTGCAGAGACAATTAGCCAATTTATTTGAAGGTTATTCTTACTTTCCCCAAAAAAATGCATGTAATATGTATTTTTAAGGATTGAAAACAGTTATCTTTGTTATTAACAACTATTATTTTGATTATTAATTAATCTAAAAAAAGTATTCAATATACAAATATTATTTTTACCCATGAAAAAGACTAAAATACTCTTTCAACTACCAACTTGTTGAAGGGGGAAAATTCATGACATCAAACGCTCTAGCATGAATACTTAACATATAAAAATACCCTTTAATTTTTCATTTTTACCAGCAATTTTAAGTTTGTGTTTTAAAAAAACTAATTTTATGAATAGAAGGAGATAACCCATTCTCGATACCATCTAACAATATGAATCTTTTGAATTCATTTTCATTACTTTTTATTCCAAAGCCAAATGCTAAGGTATCGAGTCTCTGGCGGAACCACATGTAGTTGAGGGGACTTTGGGAGAAATGACGTCTATAAAGTTTATATTTTATAAGTTGCCCTCTCTTCTTATACTTTACACCTCTTATTTTAATATTTTAAACTTTAAACCCATTTTAATTTTGCTTTTTAGCCTATAACTAAAATTTAATTTTTTAACTTAAAGTCTAGTGAATATTAGCCTATAATTTCAATATGCTTAAATATCAATATTATTTATGTTGGTCAAAAAACATTACTATTATTTAATAATTTGACTAAAAAATAGAAAAAAAATAATTTGACTAAACCAGACTCTTGTCATTCTCATGTCGCATGCTAATTAGGGATTGGTCACAAAAAAGGCAATGAAGAATAAAGATTTAAGACTCAAGAGTAAATTCATTGAATGTCTTTTATTAATATGTTGCACTTAAAAGTCTGCAATTGAAAGTTAACTTAAAAAACAAAGAAAAAGAAAGGAGAAAAGAGAAATAGTGAATTTGAAAGAGATAAAAAAGTTTTCCTTGTGCCAACAATCTTGACTCCATCACCACCCTAACCTTAGATCCTAGTTCTACTGTTGATCGCGTCTTTCTAATATAAGGTAAAAAACAGACTCCTAATTTTTCAGTTCAAAATTATATTTCACTTCTTTGTTTTTTTGAATAACCATAATCTAATGCGCCAAAATTTGAAATGTTTTAATTTATCAAACTTACTTGTGTAGCTGACCAAAAAACTTACCTGTAGAGTTAACAAAACGTGTTAGAAGCTCGAGAAGCTTAGCTACTAAACTAGACAAGTAACTTGATTCAATCGCAACCACAAAACAAAACATGTATATTCAATGTTATGTCAAGAATAATATAAGTGTTGGTCATATATCATCTAGGTTGAACACTAGAGAGCACTACATGATTCACAAAGGAATTTGTCATCAATGATGGATCAACTTGAACTGATGTACCCAAAGAAAATGCAGGTTGTTTAGGTTGTGGAAGAAACATTGACTCACTTCCTAACATAACCATAATATTTGACATGGTGGGTCTATCTTTTGGGTTTTCCTGTACACATAACAGTCCTACGTGCATGCATCTTAAAACTTTTGACTCAAGACAAGTTTCCAATAGATGAGCATCCACAAAGTCCATTTCTTTCCCTTCATTCCATAACCTCCATGCCTGCATTATTCGAACTTATTACTTTTCATGAAACTTTATGGCCAGGACTAGTAGCAGTAAAGTATCAAGTGAATGATGAAACGTACATATGCTAGTAGGGTAGGGGCAAGTTTAGTTGTATAAAAGCCATTATTTCTCTTCCCATTGATGATCTCAAGCAAGATGACACCAAAGCTGAATGTATCAGATTTTACTGAAAACAATCCCCCCATTACATATTCCGGAGCCATGTATCCACTATTATGTACATCAACCTTGAATTTGTCACAAAAAAAGTCGAAAGCAACAATATACATAGATATATACATATAATCTGGCCCAAACTATTTTTTTTTCCTTTAGTTAAACATCTTATGCTATTTTTTCAAAATAAAATTTAGATTGTTTCTCTAAAAGATAAAGTTAACGTTGACTCAATATCAATTTGAATATGTCAATGATCTTAAAAAGCTATGGAATGGTTCAATGCATATAGCAAACAAGTGAACGATAAAACTAATTATCATCTAAATGATCATTCACTTATTTCAACAATAAGAGATGAAAATAAGTTGAGCCAAGCATATTAATTATGGGGCAAACATGAAAATTTACTTACTATGTTCCCATAATTCTCTTGGTGTTAATAGCATTTTGATTTTCATGAAAAATTCTTGCCATACCAAAATCCGATATCTTTGCAACCATATCTTGATCAAGCAATATATTGTTTGGTTTTAAGTCTCTATGAATGATTTTAAGTCTCGACTCTTCATGAAGATAAAGTAATCCTCTAGCTATCCCCATGATAATCCCATAGCATATATTCCAATCAAGATGTGAGCGTTTCTCTGGATCTTAAGAAATAAAAACACCAAAATCTGCAGTCAGTACTGACATGTAGATAAAAACCTTATGAAAAAAAAAGGGGGAAAGGCCAACAGACCAAAGATAAATTTGTCAAGGCTTTGATTCGACATGTATTCATATATGAGAAACTTTTCTTCTCCTTCCAATCCACATCCTAAAAGCTTCACCAGATTCTTATGCTGAAGTTTTGCAATCAGAATGACCTCATTTTAAATTCCTCTGTCCCTTGCCTAGACTTCCTTGATAACGTTTTAACTGCTACTTCATTTCCACCTGGAAGAACACCCTGAAATTCCCAAAAATTGAACCATAAATGCATAATGCCTTGTTTGCTATTACTTGGGTTCAAATGAAATTCGGAGACTATCTTACCTTGTACACAGAACCAAAACCTCCTTGTCCTAGCTTGTTTGAATCAGAAAAGTCGTCAGTGGCAACCTTTATTGTTGCAAAACTCATGAACACAACTTCTTCAGAGCTAATTAATTCTCCATCTTGTGTAATTGTTACACTCTTTGGAGTCGCCAATTGTTGCAGTAGCATCATTTTGCTTTTTTCATCACCTATTTAATTTTGTTTTCAAGCAAAACAAAAAAGACACATGAAAAATCAAAGTGAGAATAGCAAGTGATAACTCTTGCACTATTTTCTCATAGTCAAGAGATAAAAATTGTAGAAAAAATTCACCTCTGTCTTCCACTTGTTTTCTATGGAAATGGGCAGTGCAGAAACCAATAATAACTGCTGATATTAATGCTGATGCACATATAATAGGCCCAAGCATCCATGTCTTCCATTTCCCTCCTGCTCATGAACGGCAAGAATCTGTTAATGATAACATTGACATGCCTTCTTGATGCAAAAGCTAATCAGAATCAGAAACCTTACCTTTAGACGGAAGGTACTTAGAAGTAATATGGATGAACGGAGACAATTCAAACCTCACATTGCAAGTTCGACTAAGAACTGTCCCACCTTCATGGGATAAGCAGCAAGCTCCAAGGTCTCCTAGTGCAGAACTCAAACAGCTATAGCATAATGTTTCAGAGATGTCTTTTGTGCATTGTACTAGACCATAAATTGTAATGTTCTGGGAAAATTCAATTTCCCCAGAAGCAAACATGTTCTTGGAATGAACAAATGCAGCCTCGATAGACAGGTTATTCATTAAATACATCAGAACCCGGCTGAATTGAACAGGATCTGACACTGACACGTTCTTTGCCTGATTGTTCTCATCCGGATACTTCCCAGTATAAACCATCCTTGAAATGAACATCTGAAAGGAGTATCTTACTTGACAAAGCTCGTACCATATCATAGCATCTTTACTTCTGCATTTGTTGAGTATATCTTGGCTTGCTTTGTCAACGCAGTCATTACAAATTGAGGAGTTTATGTCTCCTCTGCATAGTGCCAGTCCGTAGACCTTATCTGGGTCTTCTCCAACGGATGTGTTGTAGAAACCTGAGACTGAAATATTGTAGGAAAGTGATTCTAGAAGAAGCCCGAGGTTGTTATGAAATGTAGAGTTTAGGGTGTAATCTGGGAATTCGGGTGGACACCAAGTGAAGAGAAGGTCTGAACCAGAGACAAGGTGAAAAAATAAGATGGGAATGATGAAGAAAAACATAGCTGAAAATCTATAAAATTTTAGCCACAAAGACAGAATAAATGTATAAATAAGCTGGTTAAGCTAGGCAAGTTATGATGATTTTATACAAGGATAGGAAAAAGCAGGGAAATTTCTCGTCTGGGATATAAAACTAAAAGGAAGTACAACTTGCTTTAATAAATTGTAATGATAATTAATTATTAAGCTGGAAGTTGCCGGAACTATGAGCTACTTAGATCAGCAATAATCTGGTAAACGTTACTGTTCTAATTTTTGTTTAAAAAAGAATCAATTGTCGGTTTCCTTCTAAGCTTATCACTGGTCAGTGATTTTGATTAATTTCTGACAATGCATTGCGCCCAATCAAAGGGCGGCAACATTAGTGATGATGATTATGAGTGGCATTTTTTTCAAGCAACATAGAACACGTTTTTCTCGACATTATCCTTAAGTCTATGTAAAATAATTTAAATTTTTTTTATTTCTTTAATAAAATAACCGTAGGAAAACACGAATATGTTATCAACATCAAAGAAACTAAACAATTAACAATGACAGTGACCTTAGATGTCTCAGGGAGTAACCTGAAAACTATTCATGGATGACTTTTGGTCATAGAAAGAACCAGCTAACTTGGTAGATTTAACTGCAAATCCAAGATAACTTCAAATTGATTAAACTAATTGAACGATTGAATTGACTTTCAAATTCAATATTTTACTAAATGAGATTGAGTTGGGTTTTGCTTGCAGTCATAGTTTCATGCCCAAACTAGAGGTGAAAAGTCATTGAATTATAAAACTTGCTTACGCGCGAAAATGAATTACTTTGAACTTTCTTAACAAATTTTATCAATTTCGTTCCCGGAAGTTAACTTCCTTGCAAAAATCAAATTCTTGACGGGGAATGCTTGGGACAAATTGTCCTATTGTAGTTGCTGCTTACCATCCTTCTGTCTTACATGGAATTTTCTATATGCCCATAAAACAAATTTACAGAAGTTTGGTATTGGTTCTGCTTAATGCTTCAGAATGACTAGCCATTTGGAATCAAAATTCAACAACTTTCACAATCTGATTAATCCTCACATGGATTCATTTTTGCATAGAAGCATAGAGAATATATATATATATATATATATATAGTCGCAGATATCCAGAGGGACAACTTGGTTTCTTCTCTCTGCCTGGTAAAATTTTGTCTCACTTGTTCTCATACCTCATGTACAAGAAACAAGTGAGAGGTGGAAATAAAGGGAGAAAATTACATCCAAATCTCACATAAAAAAATTAATTACCAGAAGATTCATTAACCATTAAATGAAAGCCATTGATAATTATTAATGAATCTTATGGTAATTAAGTTTTTTATACGGAACTTTAACATAATTCTTTCAAATAAAAAATCCCATGCATTACTGGGTCCACAATTTAGGCCTGCATTTTTACAGGTCGACAATAACAACAAAAAACCAATTAGCCTTGTTTATACGTTAAAAGAAAAAGAAAATTGTAAATCTAGTTAAAACTTGAACGGCCTGACTTATCTAACTACAGTATTACAGAATAAAAGGAAAATTTTACTGGAAGGTTTTCAAATCCGATCACTGGGGCAGTATATCGGAAACTGTCAAGTTATTGACGGAGCATTGTTCATTTTCAGCCTCATTGTGATCACTACCAGTGATTCTTCCCTCACAGAAGGGTGGCCCTTGGGGTTGACCAAGTGTTGGGGATTGACTTTTCAACATCAAAACAACAGAAGACATGGTTGGTCTTTCATATGCTTCTTCTTGAACACATAATAATCCAACATGCATGTATTTTAGAAACTGATCTTCAGGGCATGAATCAGCTACTAGAGGGTCCATTAATTCCACTGTATTTCCCTCATTCCATAGATGCCATGCCTGCATAATGAACGACTCTTCAAGTCAACCAATCAATGGTGATGCATACATTAGAGAGATAGAAACTGGTCATTCGCCTAAAAGTTTTAAATAACAAAGTCTCATGGATAACTTTATTATTATCTATAATACTTACATAAGCCAGAAGGTTATGTGCATGTTTAGAGTGAGAGAAACCTGTATTGCGTCTCCCAGTAATAATTTCAAGCAACAACATTCCAAAACTAAAAACATCTGATTTTATGGAATATAGTCCCTCCATAACATATTCTGGAGCCATGTATCCACTAAAAATTTGAAAATATCAAAGTCATAAACTCTTTGCCAAGAAAACAAATATATGCAAATTATAAAAGAAAAACGAACAAGAACCTAAGTAATACTCACTATGTGCCAACTATAGTAGCAGTATTAGCTTCACCTTCAGCTCCTGAAAATATTCTTGCCATTCCAAAGTCTGAGATTTTTGGGTTCATGTCATAGTCTAATAATATATTACTTGCTTTCAAGTCTCTATGAATTATTTTTAGTCGAGAATCTTCATGAAGATAAAGAATCCCCCTTGCTATTCCACCTATTATATCAACACGTTTAATCCAGCTTAGTTGTGCTCGTCGCCTTGGATCTGGCCACAAACAGTGATTAATTTGTTATGAAATGCTTCGCCATTCTAAAGTGGATAAAGCTATGAATATTTTATTATCTTAATGGTTTGAAAGGTGAAGGAAAAGGACTCACCGAAAAGGACAGCATCAAGGCTGCCATTAGGCAAAAATTCATAAACAAGAAGCATTTCTTCTCCATCTAAACAGAATCCTAGAAGCCTCACTAAATTCTTGTGTTGAAGTTTCAGTATCAGCAGAACCTCGTTTGTGAATTCATCTGAGCCCTGTTCAGATCCTGTTGAAAGCCTCTTGATTGCTACTTCCTGGCCATCATTTAATATACCCTACAAAAACAGCAAACCTTAAACAGCATAATGACTTGTTTGGAAATTATACTTCTTTGATAATGACCTTTTTTTTGAATCATAAACTGCATGATGATTTGTTTCCTGATACTTAGGCTGAAATGAATTCCAGAGATCATTTTACCTTGTACACAGCACCAAAACCTCCTTGTCCTAGCTTGTTTGAATCAGAAAAGTCGTCAGTGGCTACCTTAATTGTTCCAAAACTCATGAACAAAAGTTCTTCAGAACTAATTGATTCTCCATCATGTGTATTTGTTGTACTCAAGGGGCTCACCAATTGTTGCAGTTGAATCTTTTCGCCTTTTTTGTTATCTATTTCATTTTGTTTATTAAAAGAAAGGGAAAATGAAAAATCCAAGAACTGAGATTGGTAAGTCTCGCACAATTTTGTCATAGTCAACGGATGAAAAGTCATAAAAAAAATTCACCTTTGTCTTTCCCTTGTTTTTTAAGGAGATAGGCAATGCAGAAACCAATAAGAACTGCTAATATGAACACTGATGAAAATATAATCACCACAAGCATCCATGTCTTCCCTTTCCCTCCTGCTTATAGTGGCAAGAATCCGATAATGATAACATTGATATGCCTTGTTGATGCAAAAACCAAAAAACCAGTCAGAATCAGAAACCTTACCTTTAGACGGAAGGTACTGAGAAGAAGTATTGAAGAACTGATACAAGTCAAACCTCACATTGCATATTTGACTAAGAACTATCCCACCTTGACGGTCTGAGCAACAAGCTTCAAGTTCCTGGAGCGCAGAACTCAAACATTCATGGCATGATATTTCAGAAATGTCTCTTGTGCATTGTATTAGACCATAAATTGTAATTTCCTGAGAAAATTCAACTTCCCCAGAAGCAAACTTGTTCTTGGAAGGAAAAAATGCAGCTTCATTGGACAGCTTATTCATTAGATACATCAGAAAAATTCTGAATCGATCAGGATCCGACACATTCTTTGCCTGATTATTTTCATCTAGATACTTCTCAGCGTAAGCCTTTCTTGAAGTAAGCATCTGAAAGGAGTATCCTACATGACAAAGCTCATACCATATCATAGCATCTTGACTCCTGCATAACTTGAGTATATCTTGGCTTGCTTTCTCAACGCAGTCCTTACAGATTTTGGAGTTCAAGTTTATGTCTCCTCTGCATAGTGCCAGTCCATAGACCTTATCTGGGTCATATCCAATGGATGTCTTGTAGAAACCTGAGACTGAAATGCTAGAGGAAAGTGACTCTAGAAGAAGCTCAAGATTGTTATGAAATGTAGAGTTTAGTGTGTAATTTTGGAATTCTGGTGGACACCAAGTGTAGAGAGGGTCTGAACCAGAGACAAGTTGGAAAAAAAAGATGGGAAAGATGAAGAAAAACATGGCCAAAAATCTATAATCTTTTAGCCACAAAGACATAATGAATATATAAAGCAGGCTAGCTTAGGCAAGATATGATGATTTCATATGAGGGTCAGAAAAAGTTGGGAAATTTCTCATCTGGATAGAGGACTTTAAGGAAGCAAAACTAGCATTAGTAACATTATTGGGATAATTAATAATTGAGCAGGAAGTTTCAGGAACTTTGAGCTGCTAAAATCAACAATAATCTGGTAAACGTTATTATTCTAATCAAGAAATAAAAAATCGTATCATCGGCGAAACCGGTAGATCAATGCTTGATTAGTTATGTTTTTTTTTTTTAAAATAAACTAAGGTAAGGATAATTTTGTAAATATAATGTACAGACTCTGCTAATGACATAGAATATTTTCCCACAGTATTGGAGAGTAATGGAAACACCTCTTCCAACCACTTACTTAAGTGATGAAAGTCTCTACCACTCATGTTAATTTTAATTGGTTTGATTGAAGTTTTTATTAGGCAAAGATGATGTGCAAATATAAAAAATAAGAATATTTTTTTTAAAATAAAAAAATGAATTAAAAGCAATCAAGAGAAATTTGAAAAACCTTTTTAACAAATGGAAAGGATGCCATGCAAAATCAAATAAGTTTGGGAGGCAATCCTGCATGGAGAAAGTGTTAAGTGCTCAACAACATCAGTTTCGTAAATGAACAATTACTTAAATTGAAATAAGCAAAATTTTTATTTAATTTATTTTAGTTATAATTTATTAATTACATAAAAATGAATATAAATTAAAGAGAAATTTTACAACATATTTTAGAAACCATGTGATTTTATAAGAGGGTCAGAAAAGGTTGGGAAATTTCTCATCTGGGATACAAGACTAAAAGGAAGCACAACTAGCATTAATAACATTGAAAGGAGGATTAACAATGGAGCCGGAAGTTACAGGAACTTAGAGTTACTTAGATTAGATTAGTAATGATCTGGTAAACGTTATTATTCTAATCAAGAAATAAAAACATTGAATGGGGGGGGTGTTTTCACGAGTTTTTATCACTGGTCAATGATTTTGATTCTATCCATGCATTCCGTCTCAATCATAGGGTGGCAACATTAGTGATGAAGGTATTGAAGAAGGTGGCATTTTTTTTTTTTTTGTAAAAGAAAATGGAACAGTTTCCCCTTGATAATTTTAATAAAAATAAATAATATAATAAAAGAATAAGAATAATACTAAATAATAATGATACAATAAAATAAAGAATCATACTTCTTTTTAGGACTCTCCAATGGGGATTGGGATTTTAAATTAGGGGATTATCTTCAGGGATTATTCTCAATAATTTGAGAGTCTAAAATAGATAAACAATCCTTATATATGCAAGATTAATTTTTATTATCTTTTAAAAAATATAAAGAGATTAAGAGAGTTAAGGAAAAAAAATTACTGTCAAGTTCCTCACAGTATATCAACAAACGTAAATGGTCCAAACAACATATGGAGCTCTGCTCCACAACAGTATATATATATACACACACACACATACACACACATATAAGTCAAAATACTTAAAACAAGAATCTTACCTATAAAATACATAAAGCTACTCTAGAATAAAAATAAAATACTTTAAATATTTACATTAATCTACAAGATAATTATCTATTTCATTTTGTTTTCAAAGGGGGAAATTGAAAAAAAAAAAATGGAAGAACTAAGGCTGGTAATTCTTGCACTATTTTCTCATAGCCAACAGATGAAAAATTATAGAAAAAATTCACCTGTCTTCCCCTTGTTTTTTATGGAAATAGGCAATGGAGAAACCAATAAAAACTGCTAATATGAACACTGATGCACATATAATCAGCACAAGCATCCATGTTTTCCATTTCCCTCCTGCTCATAAATGGAAAGAACCTACGAACGATTACATTGGCATGCCTTCTTTTTGCAGACTACAATCAAACTAATCAGAACCAGAAACCTTACCTTTAGAAGCAGGGGAAACCAAGAGGTACTGAGAAGAAGTACTGAAGAATCGAGGCAATTCAAAAACCTCACATTGCATGTTTAACTAAGAAATAACCCCCTTCACGGGATGAGCAACAAGCTCTAAGGGCTCCTAGTGCAGAATTCAAACAGTTATAGCGTAATGTTTCAGAGATGTCTCTTGTGCATTGTCTGGGACCTGGGACTCATTTTGAAATATTGTACAGGACTCATTTCTTTCTTCCCTTCTTTTTTATCCCCTTCTCTTTCAGGTTAAAGACATGATTCATCAACAGTCTAATCATTCTAAATTAATGATTCTCTCATATTTAATTACAACAAGCCAAGCTAATATTAGTTTGAAAGGTAAATCATAGCTTCTCTCAAAACCGAGTTGTATAATTTAGATCAATCAGTCAATCACCATGGTTCATATCAGTTACAGAAATATCTCCTGTACAATTTCCTGCTAACAAATTTCCCTGCACAGCTCTGCTTTTTCAGGGCTCATATATAATCCCATATGCCAAACGTTGAAGTCTTTTGTCTTTTGAGAACACAATGTGATTTAGAAAGCACTGATACTCAAATTTAAAGGAATTGATTGGATCGAGGAAATTGACATGCAGAATAAGCATTATTAATTCTCTAAATGAAAGTGAATGCTTCCATTAGAATTAGATCCATGACATGAACATATATAAATACATAAAAGATGAGAGCATTTCATCGAGGCAAGAGTTCAGTCCCAGACATTTCATTTGAAATGGTCACTTTGGAACTTTGAGAAGCCTGATCTGAACCAGATCCAGCTACAGTAGTTGATTTAGAATACATGAAGAATGAAGGTTCTCTTGGAGATGGTAATTCGATGGAAAAATTAGCAAGATACGAAACAATTTGAGCCATTGTTGGCCTATCATCTGGATTTCGTTGAACACACAATAACCCGATCTGCACACATTTGATTACTTCAGTATCACAAGAAGATTCCATTAGAAAAGGGTCCAATACTTGTAATGGTGTACCCTCATTCCAGTGATTCCAGACCTGAAATAATTTCTCAAATATTAGATAATCAAATTCATGATTTTCAGTTTTCGTCTTATACATTGACAATATTATTATATATGTTATAGGAACAACAGTTAGCAAATTTGTTTAGGATTCATGAGATCTTGCATTCTTCTTGCTACAAAGCACTTCTAAACTATAACTCCAAAACTAAATACATCAGATTTTTCAGAAAATTGTCCATACATTATATATCAGGAGCCATGTAACCACTACAAATAAACAAAAACAAAACAAAACAGAAAACAACAAGGGTGTTAGATAATGTAAAAAACATGCTAAGATGAATTTGCACAGGATGGTAATACACAGGATAGATGAAGCCATGTTTCTCATGCAACTTATTAAATAAGATAACCAAATGGAAATGACGAAACAAGAATTGAAGACTTACTATGTCCCGACAATTCTATTTGTGCTTCCTTGGTCTTCATCTGTAGTAATCATTTTTGCCATACCAAAATCTGATATTTTTGGATTCATCTTGTTATCTAATAAAATATTACTCGGTTTGAGATCGCGATGAATAACTTTGAGACGAGAATGTTCGTGTAAGTAAAGAAGTCCTTGTGCAACTCCTCTTATGATTTTAAATCGCTCAAACCAACTTAATAATCTTTGTTTTTCAAGATCTACACAAGGAAATCAAATATGAAGAAAATGCAAGATAGTAATAAGTTCGTTGAAAAATAAATCCATATATAAAGCATGCAACTGGAAGTTCAATTGAAAAAGAAGAGAAATGGTTAGAAGTTACATACACACAAAAAAGAAATCAACACTCTTGTTGGCACATATTCATAAATAAGAATTTTCTCTTGTTCTTCCATGCAAAATCCTAGTAAAGTCACTAAATTCCTGTGCTGAAGCTTGGCAATTAGTAAAATTTCATTCTTGAATTCTAATGTTCCTTGTAAAGAACATCTTGAGAGTCTCTTTATAGCAATTTCTCTTCCATCATGAAGAATGCCCTAAAGAAACATAATAGAATAATTAACTATATAAAAGATAAATGATTAGTTTAGTCCAGTAGATTACCTTGTAAACTTCTCCAAATCCACCTTTTCCTATTTGTTCTCTTCAGAGAAGTTATTTGTTGCAGCTTCAATTACAGCCAAGCTAAATTGCAAGGAAAATTAGGCTAGAGCTTTCATCCCCAACTAGACCAACATATATGAATATCAAATTAAACATGTTATAATTAAAATAAACATAATTTGGATTACCAAAAAAAAAAACATAATTTGAATTTTAAAAGTGAATGCCTAAGGTAGATTACAATTTTCTCTGAGAACTGCTTGACTGCTTTTCCTTGACTTTCTCTTGAGCAGGTAGTAACTCAGGAAGCAAAAAAGTGTCACCAAAACCATAATGGGGACAATAATCTTGACGATAGTTTTGGTTTGTGATCCACTACCACCTCTTTCTCCTGATTAGAAAACAACATTCAACTATGTCATTTGTGTTATCAAGCAACAGAATATAGGAAAATTATGGAGAATATCATTCAAGGAAAACATAGGGACAAAACTTTCAATCAAGGATCAAAACATTTTGAAACATCTTAGCTGAAATGAGGGATTAAATTGAAATTAAATTTTGTTACTCAATTAACAAAATTCCCTTTTATTGAAAAAAATTCCATCCCTCCACTGTTATCGTTGAAGCCATCACCAACAGCCAGAGCACCATCGACGACCGCTAGCAACCACTTAAACCCATGACACTCCAGTTCACCCAAAAAAAAAAAAAAAAATTGAGGTCTATAAGCAACCAATGCCTATTGATTTAATAAAGCAAAATATTATATACATGACAAAACTTAGTTTTCAAGTCAATTTTACTGTTGAAACTTGTCATTTCTATAAATTTTACTTGTCAGTTATTAAGCGGAACTTGTCAATTCAGTTATCAATTATCAGAGATACATCATGTTGAATATATTAATTGAGGGGAACACCTAAAAAAAAAATTAATTGACGAGATTTTTTTTTTTTTTTTTTTTTGAGTTGGAAAAGATACCTGGTGCTGGTACAGATGGCGATGGGGCAGAAGGAGATGGCTGTTGCTGTAGGGAATCAACAACAGCTTTTATCATAGAAGAGGTACTGCTCATATCTAACAAAGCAGTTCATGTGAGAACCTTTGCACCAGTTCTGTACTCGAAACGATCATTGAGTTCCACGATAGCCTCCTCCAAGCAGATTTTGCAATCT